ATGATCAGCACATGGAGAGTTCAGATAGTTAATACCTTTAAAGTGCGCAGACAGGAATACTAACTAGTCAGGTCTGGCTAAAAATTTTACGACTTGAATTTGCGAATTCCAAAATTTGATTGCGTGGGCTATTACTTCACTTCCAACCCCTGATTGTGCTTGTTAAATGGGTATTACTTCTTGCGATTCGAAGTTGTATTTAAGCTATTCACAATGCTGTTGCTTTGGGAGGACTTCTTCAGCTACTTTATCGCCCTAATCTTATCAAATAATTGACTGCCACATCGTAATTTTAATTGATAATAATGTAATCACACGGAATCTCGTAAACTTCATTTTTGATGGTTGGGTCTAAGTCGAATGTTGAAAAGAATGGCTGTCAATGTATCACAATAGGAAAATTAAGCTACCGCTTTGTGATTTATTGGACCGAGCTTCCAACCTTTCGCCTATTTCCGATACAGGCTCAGCGGCTTTGCCTTCAGAGGGGTGATATCACTCGAGCTGTTGCCATGGAGGGGTGGCGTCCGTTCCACAGCAGCTACTTATCCGAAGACAGCATTCAACCGAAGGCTCATGTTGTCGAGGGCAACGCGTCTCGCGTGCTGAGCAAGTGTGTTGCCTGGTGGAATTCTGAAAACGTCAGTTTTGGTTTTTCTACTTTTCTTTATAATAGTAGGCATTCATGATTGGTCTTGTCTATCCAGCCAGCTCTAAACCCCTATGAGCGCGCAATGTTTGCTGCTCAGTCTGGCAACCTTAACGCGTTGCTGCGAGCTATGACGTCTGGAAGTTGGGAGGACTTATTATGGGCGCATTGTCGTGCTCTTGTCGAATCCCGAGTCGATGCTACTCTTCGGACAAAAATTGACTGTGGACCCAGGGCCGATACATTGGTGAGTGACCCTTCCTTCCTAAGTTTTGCTGCAAATTTTCTAAGGATGGTATGGCCTTGAGAATCTCAATTGTTTAAATGTAGTCTGTGTTGGGACGTCCACAAAAAGGTCTAGACATCGAGGATATTGGTCTGCAGCTGCCTACCTCAGCCTGGTTACCAGGCTCGTGGACCCTCTCAGAGGCCTTTGCGAAGGCTGAAACTGTCCTTGGATGGTGTCCCATAAATTACCTCCTTCGCGTAGCTGAGGAAGATACCAGTTTTGTTCCTCCGACTATTCGTTCCTCAGAGATTTCTGCCTTCCTTAATCGCAACGATCGCAACGATACCAAGATCTTGAGTGGTTCTGAACCCTCATCCAGCCGTCATTTGCTTTTACAAGCTATGTTTTATGCTATATGCAGGGGAGTCGCTCTCCGAGAATATTCAGGTTAGTCTACTTATCCACTTGTTTTATGCCAACTTTCTGAAAATCCATAACAATAGATGGTATTTGTATGAATTCCACTTTGTAAACTTGTGTATTTTGGTATTTTACTTACAGAATTGTTGACAGCCATGGCCTCGGTTGCATCCCTTTTTATTCCGCAGCCGATTCGCGAGATTTTAGCCTCAGGCGTCACCAATGCAAATTGGCCAGACCAGCTTACGTTGGACGAGCTGGATTGCCATGTTCTCCGCTTCTTGGCTCACTTTGTGCTCTGTCTTCGACTTCTGGAAACGGGCCTTCCAGTAATTATCTTCAAGATATTGCCGTTTTTAATGGTCTATTTTGGGATCGTTAAATGAATAATCAGCTTTGCCCTAATCAAGACATAATTAATAGTTTGGTGCTTTTCATAGAACGAACCATGCAATGCTGTTTTTGAGGCCTATATAATTACGCTGATTGTGGAACGGCGATATTCGCTGGTTGCATCCTATGTTGCTCAGCTCACTTCCCCGATGCGGCAAACACATTGGTATGCCTCGTTTCTCTCCAGTAAGCTACCCTTTCATTTACTCTATCCGAATTATAAGGACTCTGTGTCGGTATCAGGTTGGCTGTAATCGGCTGGTTAAGCAAGCCTCGCTTGATATTTTGGTACTCGAATCCGACATAACGTTGAAATGGTTCTTCGTTTACCTTTGTTAATTTTTTGAAGGCAACTTTGTCACCTTCCGCAGCGTGTTTCCTTTATTTCTGAAAATCATTTCACTCAAAGGTGATTGCCTTATTGGATTCGGCGTATTCAATAATCAACCTAGTGATTAATAAGTTTTCCATAGTAATGAGCAATTGTGTCTACTTGTTTTGCTATGTATCAAGCTCCATATTCAACTTTTATAAAGAATTTAATAATCACTATTTGTCCCAAGTTTCTTGGGTTTTATTCGACTTTCATGAGGTGCTTTGGTGTATCTCAAAAGCATGTCCTTCTATCTTCACCGCACTCAATGAATTGTTTCATCAGTTCTTTAGCTGTATTTCGTGAAATTTTGAGATAAAACTAAGGCGCATCTTAGCATCAACCCACCGTAACTTTCGTAGTAATATTGCGGTTTATCGATCTTCAAGACTGCATCTGTTGTACATTATAATTCGCCGATAACTTAGGTGTCTGTGAATGACTTGAAAGCGATTTGCCGATAGGTCTCAAAAAGCCAGAGGATTGTCGTCAGTGTCTTGAGTACGCGGAAGTCGCCGGTCTCGACGTGCGGAGCATCACACGTGCTGTAATACGGATTGTGCGTCGTCGATTCGATGAACAAGAGGGTTTAAGGGAGGGTGCATTGAGTACCTCAGCGCCACTGCCGACTTCAAATGACATCACTGATATCGTAGGTGGTGATGTGGTAGCTTACCTTACGCAAGTGGACAAGGCTCGCATCGCTGCCCTCGACTGGTTGGTACACGATCGGGCGCAGCGCGGCGAACTGCTGGTACTCGCCAACAGCCTCATCCGTCTATTTATTGCCATGCGCAAGTTTCGTGCCGCTAGAGCTCTCCTTGATCGTTTGCCACTGGCCTTGTTGGACCAACTGAAATTGAAGCTTCTCCAGGCGGAGGCGGAGTTTGATGTAGATGTTGCTCGAGTTGCTGTTCCTCCTTGGCTTGCCAATAGCGTCCGCGAACACGAAGCTCTCATCCTCTATCTCCAAACTCGGGTACGCTAATTTTTATTACTTTGATGTAATTCCTGCATGTGGTTGCAGTGTGCTTCATGGTTTCAACTTTCAAAGAAAACTTTACGTTCGTTTTAATAAATATATATAGCCAAGTTTATGGTAGGTTAGTTTTGGAATATTAAATTGGCGGTTCGATCGAAAGGCATATATTGCCATTAGGTTCCTATAATTGGGCTATATATCCCAACGGATCTGATGGTTATCAACTAAAAAATATGCATCAATAAACCAAATTATTTCCGATATATAAGGTAACCAAATAAGTGTAAGTGGTTTCACGTGCTTACTGAAAATGCCAAGGACAGTTTAAAAGCAAGAGTTCGTCAAAATTTCACTGCTGCATCTTTTGCTCCTTTTCCACTGAACTACTAGCCTGCAAGTTCACCCCTTTAAATGGGTTTTGTCTGTGCAACCGAAAAACTACCTCCAGTCACCTCTTCCCATCTCACTTTTATTCCCCAACCGCCTATTCCATCTCGTGTGTGACTGTCTAATGGCAAGAAAAGGTGATAGTCATCACTTGGAGAAATATGAGGGGAATACGGAAGATGAGAACGAGGCTGATGCTGGAGCTGGAGCTGGAGCTGGTGCTGATGCTGAGGATGAGACGGCGTGCCCACCTCGCTCCTCCCCTCCTTCTCTTCCCACCTAACCCC